AAAAATTAAATAAAAAAAGAAGAAGAAAGAAACACGATATCTAAAACGATTTAACATTTGATGCTATTTAAGGTTATTGAATTGTGTTATTTAACGTTGTTGAATTGAATGCCTCGTGTCTTGAATGTCAGCTCTGTGTCAAACGGTTTAGTGTGATAAAAATCAAACTGACTGATTGTATTAATCACATAAAAAAAGTATATATTTCAACCGCAAATAATAAACAAACTGCACCTTATGAAAAATTATTTGATGTCATACAATTGTCATAAAAAAAGTTATTGCTCATACAAGGTTCTGTAATAAGAAATATCATTGCTCGAATATTTCAACTTAGACTAAAACTTTTCTAATTCATTTAATTCGGGAAATTTTAATGTTACAACTTAAGAACAATATATATATATGATACAATATAAAAAAAATAAAACATACTCAAATGATATACATAAGAAATCTTAATAAATTTAATATAATATAATAATTATAATGTAAAATTATATATATAGATACACACATACATACGTACATACATACATACATACATACATACATACATACATACATACATACATACATACATACATACATACATACATACATACATACATACATACATACATACATACATACATACATACATACATACATACATACATACATACATACATACATACATACATACATACATACATACATACATACATACATACATACATACATACATACATACATACATACATACATACATACATACATACATACATACATACATACATACATACATACATACATACATACATACATACATACATACATACATACATACATACATACATACATACATACATACATACATACATACATACATACATACATACATACATACATACATACATACATACATACATACATACATACATACATACATACATACATACATACATACATACATACATACATACATACATACATACATACATACATACATACATACATACATACATACATACATACATACATACATACATACATACATACATACATAATATAGGATAAATACAAATCTTCACGAATAAATTTCCATATAACTCAGAGGAATTTATTAAAATTTTGAATATCAACTTATGAGTGTTGTGTTCAAATTTGCTGTTGAATAAATTTAACTCTACAAGCAAATTTCTTAAAATTTACTTATTTACTCCAGGTGGAATTCCATGCATGGAAGTATGCGTACTGTCCATCCAGGCTACTAAAGAACGCAGTTCAATATTTTTTATGCGAGAAACTATTTTCCATATTTTATTTTTTTAATTTTATTTATACGCCGATATGAATTTGAATATAACTCGCGTATGTTACACGGCGAAATTTATTTGCAGGTGTCTTTCGCATGTTTCAACGCGATGAAGGTCTGAAAGAATGCGAAGTATTTAAATTTAAATATTAAAAACGATGTTTAATCACCAAAGCAAACTGGAATGAATGTGGAAAGGTCGTTAAACTCAAACGAACAAACATTCAGGCGATGACAAAATTATTAACAGTTGAAATAGTAAAAAACATTTGGACTATAAATAAACAAACGTTAAAACTAATTACGAACATGATGATGCACCTAACGACAACGCGTATGATGTAAAATTAAACAACTAGCTCTCTAAAGGATCCTATGCAGATGAAGAAAGGAAGGACAAAAAATATTTAACAATAAATAAAAATTAATTTGCAGTACCGTGACCAAGTTAGTTTTGGAAAAATGTAAATTTAAATTTCACGACGGTAATGGTGGCGTAGCATTGTGCCGCCATTCACTTAGAAACCTACAACTACAGTAAACACTTTAATCAATCAAGTTTCATAAATTATCAACAATTAACTTTGTATAATAATTAAACAAACATTTAAAAAAATAAACCCAATCTAAACAGTGCAGGTTGTTTAAGAAATGAAAATTGTACTGGTAACGAGTGCAATGAAGTGAATTTTGCAGATGTCTTGAACGGCCAGCTAAACAGAGCGTATATACGTTTGCCAAGAAAAAAAAAATTTTGCAAATAGGAGTGAATAATGAATGAGGAAGCATGTCTGACCAACTCGAACACTGACAGCTCATGTCAGCCGGATGAAACTTTCAACTTTGCATCATGCCCAGGAGATATAACTTTTTTTGTTTTCTATGTTTGCACAAAATTTTATGATTTTGAGTGACAGAATGCAAAGAAATTGAAATGACTTTGAGTTGGGATAATTGGAAAAAGAAAATATTTAAATATTTTTTAGAATTTACAAAAAGAACTTCGTTTCTAAATAGATAAATAATAATAAATAATAAATAGATTAATTAACTAACTAATTAACGTTGTGTGCTTAAAAACATCATCGCAAATTATCGTATAGAAATATTAATTTAAAAAAAACTTTTCGACGGTCGTTCCGACACTTATTAACATAACAATTTTTGATCATTTGGTCAATCTAATCTCATTGCCAGAATTTCCAGCGACGTTGGATTTGAAGTGCTTCCCAGAGAGACTTCATTGGACTAATTTTTATTATTCGGACGAATTTTTTTTTATTCCCTGAACTTTTCAAAGTTTCTATAAATTACTTTAATAAGAATTTCAAAAAATTTGTTGAAAATTCTTTTAAAAGTTTCCCCTTAAAATAATGGACAGCTGATGATTGATTGTTGCTTTTTACGCGGACTTTCAACCTGCTGTGGCGCATGCATGGCAACGAAGATGCGAGATTATCCAACATTGATCAACCTCAACTCTCGCTTCTCACCTTTCCTTTTTATTTCTTCTTCCTAATCACTGCTCTGAAATATTCAAAAACTTTTTTTGAATGATAAGGTCTTTACTAAATTAATCTCCAGAGATTAAATTTATCATACTAGGCTAGAATACTGTCTCGTCCAAAAAGTGACCCCAAAATAAGAATAATAATAGTTATATAGTACATTTAGTTTGCAGGGTAATTTTTTCACTATACATCCATCCAGATGACTGTATAGTCTTAATAAAGTTCTACATCGTAAACAGTTGGTTTAGCGTACTGTCAGCTTTCACTATAGTTGCTATAAAATGCTTATAAAATAAATTTAATGCATCACTGCACTGTTTCTTCATCGGCAATAAAGCAATTTATTTCGCTGCTTCTGAAGGTGTCACATGTCATTCATTCAATGAAATGCATTCTCTTCTTGACGGTTTTACGTTAGAGCTATTTATTGATGGCATGTGATTCAAATTACTTTTGAAACGGGTTAAATGTAGTTCACTCTCTGAAATGTCTTGAAAACTAAGAATAAAATTTTGAATATCATTAGACCGGAGGTTTCAATTCATTTCCAAACAAAAGAAATGCGCAATGATGATAATACAATTCAAAGTTCTACTGTTAAATTTTCCAAGAAAGTTAGTCCAACGAAGTCTCGTAAACTGTGCATGTTGTGTAAATAACATTTTAATAATTCAAGCAATTAAATGTAAATATTTAAATCAAATTTAAAGAATTGTTATAGGGATAACGATTAGAAGTGTTCAGATACAAAAATATTATTCAATGATAAAAAAGTTTAAATTTAAGACAAAAATCTGCGACTGTACCAACTGACTGTACCAACATGATACGCTCGCCATACATAAGCACCTACATACCTACCTGCCTACCTACCTGCCTACCTACCTACCTGCCTACCTACCTACCTGCCTACCTACCTACCTACCTACCTACCTACCTACCTACCTACCTACCTACCTACCTACCTACCTACCTACCTACCTACCTACCTACCTACCTACCTACCTACCTACCTACCTACCTACCTACCTACCTACCTACCTACCTACCTACCTACCTACCTACCTACCTACCTACCTACCTACCTACCTACCTACCTACCTACCTACCTACCTACCTACCTACCTACCTACCTACCTACCTACCTACCTACCTACCTACCTACCTACCTACCTACCTACCTACCTACCTACCTACCTACCTACCTACCTACCTACCTACCTACCTACCTACCTACCTACCTACCTACCTACCTACCTACCTACCTACCTACCTACCTACCTACCCAACACATGCTTACATTACCAGTATACAGAAAACAAAATACTTGAATGAATGTATTATGAACTGAAAAACATCGGCAGCTTAACAAGTGGGAAATCGTGAAGGAATGGAACTAAACGAGGGATGAATGAAAGTGATAATGACTATCATCATCATCATTATTCCAAATAATATCATTTATTTGAAAACATGACGAGAAGTTTTTAAAAGGAAAATAAGAAATATAAAAGTAGGATATATATATATATATATATATATATATATATATATAGTGTAAATTTATATACAGCACATAAAATCGAGTTGACGATTTTTGCATTTTATTTTATTCACAAACATTTACTCTGGAACAAACAGGTAGATACAAGCGTTGAAAGAAATTTTTTATTACAACTAATTAATATTAATAAATAAATTATCAATTATGTGAATATAATAAAAAATATAAATAATTTCGTTGGGACATAAATTTATTTTAACTTTATATAAATTATTTGAATAATAATTACGCTACGTGATTCTCCAGTGAAAATATTAGTAAAAGTTGGATTTTGCTGGTTTCATATTTTAACTGAAAATATGGGATAAATTTCAATTTAATGAAACCAAAAAAATTTGCTTTAATTTGGTTTTTGTTTCATCTTGCTTTGAAAATCAAACGATTTAATTCTATCAATTATAGATTTTAAGATAATTTCTGCACATTTATCAAACAATAAACTTGTTTTACACGTTTTAAAAAGTTAAATTATTCACATTTTCTAACAAAATTAAATATAAAAAAGTAAATCATCTAAGTTGACTGTTAGAATAAAACCTTTGTTTGCCTCTTACAAAATATTGAACAACACACAATCCACATATTAAGCATTCAAAACAATTCACAAACTTAACTGGTTGTTGTGCAACTAAACCACCTCCAATCGTCCGCCGTTCGCTCGATTTTTAACAATATTCTTCCTTCCTGGTTTCTCGGCCAACGTCCTTCTTTCGGGACTGTAGTTGTTCCACAGACCACACAGAACTTCCCCGGCCACCACTTCGCCCATGTTCATGCCGATCAGTCGAACGATGAACATGCCGTCTCTACGCAGATAGTTTTCAGCAAACTTGGCCAGCGTACCTGCCTCGCGAGGGGCCGCGTCCATAACTCGTATTTGTTTGCGTACGTATTGCACATGACCGGGCCAGTACAACGAGCGAAACAACCATCTTAAAAAGTTAACGGCGGTGGCGAATGCAAGGAACACAAACCAAAACCACAGAAACGTAAAAAGTTTTTCATTGAAGAGATTAATAGTGAGGGCACACTGAACAACGTAGCTATGCAGACGAGATTGATAACGTATGTCAAATTCGCAGAGAGTCACGCGGGGAAATTTTTCAGAGTATCCCCAATCTTGACCTCGAACGAGTTTTTCAACGATATGTACACCATACATGTGGTAATCTATTTTAAGGAACGCATCCAACAGAAACAATTGACCTACGGCGTTTGCCACGTAAAGAATTTTAATCATCATGTAGCAACTTATCAAATAGTTCCCGTACAACTTGCCACCGATCAGACAGCAGGCCTTAGCAATGAAATGTTTGATGCGCACCACACAACCTGTCCTGTACTCCCTTTGTGCCAGCAAGTACCGATCCATCTGGTTGACAACGTACCTGATGGCCTTCTCTCGGATCTCCAAGTATGAGGCTTGTGAACAAACTCGTGCAGCGTCCATGATTGCTGTCATGTTCACTCCAGATCTTCTGTTGAGGAACCGCCAGAACAGGCACGGTATGAAGGAAAGCAAGCCCTGTTAGAAGGTCGTGGGTATTTAAAATGTTTCAATAAGTTTTATTATATCTATGATTTAAAAAACTTTTTGAAATGAAAATCTTCTAATAAATTTGTATATTTCTACAGTATTATGCGAGGAGACTTTGCTTTCTATATGTTAATTTGATACAATGGTTTTTAGGCAATAATACTAACAAAATAATACTGACAACTGAAGTGATCAAAATATAGGTGGTTAATTCAAATTATAAAAAAGGTAATGGGATAAAATGTACATTTCTATAATTTTACCATTAAAAAAGTGGTTGAAAATTAAATGAAAAATGATTTTCAAAATAATGTATGAGTGTTTCTGCTTAGCGGGGGTCAGGTTTGAATTAAAAAAATTTTTACACCGACTCCTTGATTAAAAATTTTAAGACTCCGATCTCCAGGAATATTGTCAGACTCCTTGACTCTTGGTTTTTTCTTCCAATTCTCAAATAAGTTTTCCAGCCATTACAATTTACAATATAAAAAAATCCAAGTGTATGATAGAATTGAAACAACTTAAAAACTGTGATCATCAGCCGATGTAATATCTTATTATCTTTTATTTCGTACTTTTTATTTGTTGTATATTATTGTTTAAAAAGTTAAAAGTAATTACTTTATATCGTAAAAAGAATATAATTATATTTTGTCTGCATTGCAAACAACGTGAACTCCCTAGTTTTGAAATTTTATGATAGCATTAGAAAAAAAAATCGAATACTTCTTCTTTAACCATCAGAATGCTGGCAGGCAGTTGTGGTTGCTTAAGCTGTACTTTCTGAGCCCTTAAGATCACAGATGGTTCATTTTTAAAGGTAAAGTTTGTAACATTGGTTCAGAGAGGCTAACTTTTTTAATATATTTTTCAGTCATTCGATTTGACATTGTATGTAAATAAAATACCAGAAAATCCCAACATTAATTTACTATAGATTAAGGATTTGTGCGTAGATTTCCAACGTGAATTTTATATTAATTATGGGTTGCACATTAAACTGTCATTAAACATACTAACAGTATTACAGATAATAAATTAATGTTTTAGAATATTTATAACATCTGGTTGTTTCGCTCAAAATCACCAAATATTTCGACCTGCAGTTGTTAAACATTTTTTTAAATTTTTGCTTCTAATAAAACAACTTATTGTTTTAGGATATAGTAAATATATGTTAAAAACGAGGAGCTGGAATGACTCCGATGTCAACAAGTTGCTTTATAATGGATGAAAAATTAAAATAAAAACAGACCAAACTGCAAAACAGAAGTATGCCTAAAAATGTATGTAAGCCAGACAATTTTAAGAGTATTGTCAGAGAAAATCCGAGAAATTTAAATAAAAAATGATGCGATATGACAACACGTTTGAAACATTTCAAGATTAGTAGATGAAAAAAACTAATGTCTAATCTTTTACTGCTGATAAACTGGAATATTAACAAAAAAAACAGCCTTTTGAGTAATTAACCATTTTAGTTAAACTAATACATCGTTATCAACGTTTGATGGAAACAATATGTCATGACGTCATGAAGATGTTTAGAAAAAAGTTTGTTGTTACCTGAAATATTAGAATGAGTGGGACCCACTGATAGTAGCTGATCATTTGTGGATACTGCTCACTATCCTCGCTTGGGTAGTTGTGGTGGTGGTTGTGACGATGGTTGTGGTGGTTGGCGGCGTCTGATAAGGTTTTGGCAGGTATGATGGTTTTCAGTGGCAAATAATATGTGTTGCTGACCCAGCAGATGGCATCTGCATAATCTCGATGACTTTCTTCAAAGTTTGCAGGACACCAGCATGTTATTGGCCTGCCTACAAATTGTTTTGTACTCACCAAAAAACCGAAACATATGAGGATGATTACTGTGTATTGGCGTGTCAGTCGATCGATGTAGTCATCGTCCATGCGAAATTTGATCTCTCTGATGGTGAGAGCTGATTTGAGGAGTCGATCCATGGCTGGTTAGCTTTCTGTTTCTTCGTTATCAGATTACAACGGATGAAATTTTGAAATATTTAGATAAGTTTTGATTTTGAGGGTCGATGTGTGAATGTTGTTCTTTGCTGTTGACTCGGGTCACTTTTTTGTATTAGCTTTGTTTGGACGCCAATATTTGATTGTGGCTTTATAGTAGTGCTGATGAGTTAATACTAATTTGATAGCTTTTCACTTTACGTTTGAAAAAGATTAAAATAAACTTTTTACTATATAAATTCTGACAGTTTCAAAGGAACATTACGGTACTCTTTCCTTAGTGGCATTTTTGTAGCTTTTACGCTCGCACCTCTTCTTCTTGATTGATTTTGGTTCAATGTGGTGTTTGGTGAATGGAGTTCATGTTGCGAATGCTTTATTTGTACGATATGCCTAGTTTCGGCTGCATCGAAAACCTGCAGATAAAAAAAAGTATGCTAAACTGTGATGCAAACATGATAAATTATTCAAAACAACTCCATGTCTGTCTTGTATGTCTATATCTGATGTGTGTCTGCATATGTTTGTATCTGACGTGTGTATGTACATGATGCTGCCTGTACAAGTACATGTACACAATGTTTCTGTATGTCTGTCTCTATATGATGGCTGATGAATGATGTCTATACATGCAGCGCTGTGTTTGATGTTGATTACAGTGTCTGATGATGATGTCTAATAATGATGTTTGATGATGATGTCTGGTGATGTTGTTTGATAATGATGTCTGATGATGATTTCGGTCTTTATACACGATAGCACGCTATCTCTATATGAAATTCGCGTATGTTTGTTAATTTTTTTGGCTAAATTCGAATAAATATAAGAAGTTTGGCTTTTTCAGAACTAAATAAAAGTATTAAAATTTTGTTTAAACTTCACATATTCCTGCTCAGTTGTTGGTGCACCATCCATTGCAAATTAGAAACGAAACTGAACAATAAAATCACTGAGCGGCACATAAAAACAAATAAAAATGCTTTCAAAGTGATTGGCCGTATTTCGCCTGCCTCTGCAAAGATTCATTCCGTTGAAAGTGCTCAGGTGGTGCTTGTATGGATGTTCTGTTCATATGAAAGATGAGTATATATATATATATATATATATATATATATATATATACATATATATATATATATATATATATATACATATATATATATATATAAGCAACATTTAATAAAATATACAAAATTTTCGATTTGAAAGTTTACGGTCGAGCTTTTCAATGTTTCTAACAGTAAATTATCAAATATTGCATCAATTATAGGCAACTTCTGGTCTTTATAATATTATAAATTATATATATATATATATATATATATATTATTCTTATATATACAAAAAATAATATATATATATATATATATATATATATATATATTAATCAATTTGGCATTAATCAATTTAAAGTTTGAGTTTTCAATTTTTCTTACTAGAATTGTCTGGAATTAGTTCAATTTATTGAAAATAAAATTATTTTCCAAGTTCATCATGAAAATCTAATAAAACAATTGTTATTCAAATTCATCATGCAGATAGATCTTATTTCAATTTTTTCACAAATCATCTGCAGTGTTGGTTTTGTTTACATAGTTTCTTCATAAAAAGCAAAGTTATATGGATATAATAAATTAGTTAGATAGTCGGAATCAATTATGCGTTTGAACCAGGTCAGTGCGAACCAGACAGGGCGGCTGCGTTCTGTTGAACATCATTTGAGTTATTGACAGCGAACAGTTTGTTGATGTCAAAAAGTGTGAGCGGGATCAAGTGTAACGAGTTGAAGTGCAACGCGATTAAATGCACTTTAACGATCGTCTAAACAATATGCATGGCTGGAAGTCATCATGGTTGACATCATTACCTTTCTGTTTCAAAAACTCGATAGCAGGATACTGTTCTGATATATTCATTGATGTCAATAGCCTCACATTTTGTCACGTTGTTGATATGAAGAATTTTTATGAAAAACAATTTTAACCGTGGTAATTTTCAAATCACTGGATAGCCGTAAACGACAATAAATCTCACTGACAGGCATCTGAAAAGTTCGCTTAAAGAGATTTTACAAGTTACAGTAATATATTTTTCAGATTGATGTCACCAGTGTATATGTGCATGTGTGTATGTGGTGCATATACAAATTTGGGTACATGTGCACATGTGTGTGCACGTACGTATGTGTGCGTTAGCATGTAAGCAGGTGTATTTCTATGTATTTCTTATTTTTATTGACATCCTAATTTCAAAGGCAATTGTAAAAGCATGGAATGATCTGTTGTTATATTGAAAGAGGTTTTCGTGTTCCATGTTATTTACCATTTTGGCTCGTACGTAGAGATCAGATCAGTAACATCGCGAATTGTCATGTATGTTTGGTTCAGTGAATTTTTTATTAAAATTTTTTTTAATATTTGCATTTTGTATTTTATTAGTTGTTCATTTGTATGTAACAATGAATGTCCTAGTTAGAAAAAACAAAAAAGAGTTTTCACCGAGAAGTTTGATGAACTATTTTAACCGTTCCAATTCCGACTCATCGTTTAGTTTTAATCAATGGTATTTGAAAAACATGGGAAATTGCAAAATGGATATAAAAACACTGTGTAACAAGAATCATTGAAAAATACAAATTTTATAACTGCAGGTAAATTAAACATAAAATTAATTTTAAATCAAGAGAGCCTAATAAAGTAAATGGTGCTGACAAACTACTACGAAACCAGTAACATGTTTGGTTATACCACAATTTACATCATACCAAACGCTTCAAAAAAAGTTCATGCATAGTTTTGAAATTGAAGATATCGAAAGAGTAGATCAATTAGCATTCCAAGCTCCCTTGGATCCTCCATCGACCCTTCCAACACCACATCACGACATAAGTTGCAAAGTTCCTTAAACAATATTATGTTATGGTTTCGGAAATGGAGTCTTAAAGTCAACGTTAGTAAATGTAGCTTGTTGTCAATTGGTAAATGTTTTCCAATGAACTATGAAATTGTTGATTCGAATGATGTTGCTCATATCTTACCAAGAGTAAAGAGTATGCATGATCTAGGCGTGATCGTAGATAGTCAACTTACTTTTAAAGAGCATGTTATGACGCAGATAAAAAAATCAAACCGTATGTTGGGAATTTTATTCAGAAATTTCAAGGACCTGTCGGATGATGCGTTCGTTTGTCTCTATAAATCTTTGGTCAGATCACGTTTGGAATATGCTGTGCAAGTCTGGTGCCCATATAGAAAAGGTTTATCTGGTGAATTGGAAAAGGTCCAAAGAAGAGCTACCAGAATTCCAAAGTCATGTAAAGGTTTAGATTATAAATCTAGATTGATAAAATTAGATCTGCCATCTTTGGAATATAGACGAATCAGGGGCGACTTAATTTTAACTTATCAAATTCTCCATAATTATGTGGATCCTTCAATTTCCCCATTGTTAGATCGTCGTGCGGACAATGGCACCAGAGGTCATCATCTCAGTTTACAGACTCGTCTTGCAAGGAAAGATTGCAGAAAATATTTTTTTTCTAATCGAGTCGTGAATCCTTGGAATGCACTGCCCGTTGACGTTGTAGATGCTCCATCTATGAAGACATTTAAAATTAAACTAGATGACTTTTACGGTGATAAAAAATTTGTGTCAGCTTGATTAATTATTAAATAATTGCTTAAATTTTAATTTCGTGTTTGGTCGTTTGGTGTAGACATTGAACAATAATTTATACGACTTTAATTGTCACATCCTTTATTTTTGAAAACGTTCTTTTATTTTGTCATTGTTTTTAGTTGGGGCAAAGGGCTCTGCCCAGGCCTTTTTTTTGATAATGATAATGATAATGATAAGAGTGAAGACTAACGACCTCATATATGAAAAATGGCAAAGAAAATTTAACAAGATAACGAATTTTCTCAAAGTAGTTATTCCCGAATTAAATTAATCCAAAAATGGTAAAATCAATGAACTAAGTCAAAACAACCTAAACATGATAAATAGATTAAAAATTGGTCATTCCAAAATTATCCATTCATGGATATTAAACAAAACAAAACATCCACTTTGTGAGAAATGTAATGCAAAATTAACAACCGAAGATATTAAATAGAATGCCAAACATATAATGAGAGAAAGAAAAATACCAAATTCCAGAATATGTACACTCAATTTTCAAAAATAAATGCATAATCATCCTAGCATCACACATTAAGTAAATAAACAATTTCAACAATATCTAATTGTCCTGCTTTTCAAAAAATTTACAACCAAGACCCAAGGCGTGAAGATAGGCTATCGGTGCTAAAACCTACATTTGATTTGCACCAGCTCTGCTGACAATTGGCAAATATAAAATTTAAAGTTGCCGCAAATTGAAGGATTATATAATTTAAATTTTGTTCTCACTTATTCGCTGTGATAAAAAATCATTGTTTTTAAAAATTTACTGTTAGCAAAATTTGTTAACCCGAAATTTTTAGTTTTTAAGCATTTTTCAATATCACTACGGCTTATCAAACTTTTTCAAAGTTTCTGCTACTTTTTTTTACCCAAAAAAGATTTTTGATTATTTAAAAAAAATTCTGCCATGAATTCGCAATGGTAGTAACACACACGCACAACACGACACATGTACAAACACACGTGCATAACACGGCAAGGAAAGCACATGTAGGCGAGCACAAGATCACATTTTAGCAGAGAGTGACTACATATAAGCAGATCAATATTCAGCTGGCAACAACATAACGTAGAATTACGCCTGCTTAGCGCTGCATACGCCAACGAACGAGCGTGCACGCATATAAGTGAGTGCACGTTTTCTATGGCGTGCACACCGCAGCCTGATGCGTGCATCCCGGCTTTGTCTTATGTTCTGGCATTTGCATTCGTTTCTTAATGCACTTGAAAAAATAACGAAATTATGTATTGCGATGCAACCATCGTATGCGTCTTTATGTTCAATAAAACTTTTTTTG